GCATTACAGAGAAATCTTTTATGAAAGGAAGAATCAATGTGGTGAACTTCATTGTTGTCTGATTTTAACAAATTGCCACACCACACAAGTGCACGTATAAGAATAGCATCTAGTGGATGTCGGGCAGGGAGGAGGGGGGAGGAGGGGACAGGTATATGCATACACAAAGAGTGCAATGCGCACCATCGAGGGATGGACACACTTGAAACTCGGACTTGAGGGGGGCAGGGGGGAGGGCAACATACGTAACCTAAACATCTGTACCCCCATAATATGTTGAAATTAAAAAAAAAATTGCCACAGCTACTCCAACCTTCAGCAACCACCACCCTGATCAGTCAGTAGCCATTAACACTGAGGCAAGACCCTCCACCAGCAAAAAAAAAATATAACATGCAGAAGGCTCAGATGATCGTTAACATTTCTAATCAGTATTTTTAAATTAAGGTACGAACATTGTTTTTTTACACATAATGCTACTGCACACTTAACAGACTACAGTATAATGTAAACATAACTTTTACATACACAGGAAAATCAAGTAATTCATGTGACTCGCATTATTGCAATATTCACTTTATTGCAGTGGTCTGGAATTATATGCTCAATGTCTCTGATGCATGCCCATATAAGTTATCAAGCAAAATAAGAAGAAAAAGGCAAAACACATATATCACTATATGAATAAAAGACTGAAATGTTAACTTCTCGGTGATTTTCTTTCTTCATTCTTTTCTGAACCTACCAAATTTTCTACAATAAGCATATGATTCTTCTATTACTCAAATACATTTCTAAATTTAAAAAACAGAACGAAACCCATGGAAGAAGCAGAGAAAAGTATTAACATTGATTGTATGCACAAGAATTTCTTTTTAATGATGGTTAAGGAGCACCTAGTAAGTATGGTTAAGGAACAGTGAATTTTAAACAATAATAAAGATTCAAGTTACTTACCTTAGTAAAGTTATTCAGATGGCCTAGCTTTCTCATATTTGATACTCCTTGCAATTTGGCCACATTTTGGAGAATCTCTCTTAAGTTATCAGAAGGATCTAGGAGGAAAGACAAGACACTTTTAACATAATTTTAAGAGTATTTTTCTAATCAAACACATAAAACATGGAGTATTAAAACGTCACAACTTCAGCTCTTGGTGTAACGTCCTACCATTCACCCCAAATCCATTCATTTAAGTGACTTCAAAGGACATGCAGATAACTCATCCAATTACCTTCACATTTCTACTTCCATACCTATGGTCCAACTCTGTATCATCATCTGGAATTAGTCAACCACAAAATCTTAAATCTTGCTATGGTTTGAATGTGTTCCCCCAAAGTTCACGAGTTAGAAACTTAATCCCCAATGCAACCGTGTTGAGAGGTAGGACCTTCAAGAGGCAATTAGGTTATGAAAGCTCTGCCCTCATGAATGAATTAAGGTTGTTATAGAGGAGAGGACTGGGTTCCTTATCACAAAAGTGAGTTTGTGATAAAAGTGAGTTCAGCTCCCTCTTGCATGTGTGATCCCTCACTGTGCTCAAGCATTTTCTCTCTCCCCCCTTGTCCCCACTCCTTCCTTCTCTCTCTCCTTACATGGGATGACTCAGAAAGAAGGTCCCTGCCAGATGTAGGCCCATTGACCTTGGACTTCCCTGCCTCCAGAACTATAAGAAATAAATCTCTGTTCTTCATAAATTACACAGCCTCAGGTATTCTGTTATAGCAGCACAAAAAAGACTAAGACAAATCTCAACATCTCAACTTTCACTTCTGGTTACAAATGTAGCAACAGGGACCAAATATACCATCCTGTTTGAATCAACCAAAAAACTGGATAAAACATACAGATGATCCCTGATTTACAATGGTTTAAGAATTTTTCAAATTTATGAAGATGCAAAAGCAACGCATATGGACTGGAAACAGTACTTTAGCCATATAATCAATCTATTTTTCACTTTTAGTATAGTATTCAACAGATTACAATAGATATTGAACACTTATTATAATATAGGCTTTATGTTATATGATTTTGCCCAA